GGGAGAACGGGAATGTGGGGGGCACCGGAGTGATGCCAGAGGCAGCAGGAATGTGGGGGGCACCGGGAATGCTGGAGACACTTGGAATCCCAGAATTCACCGGGATTCTGGGATTCACCGGGATTCAGGGATTCACCGGGATTCAGGGATTCAGGGATTCACCGGGATTCACCAGGATTCACCGGGATTCTGGGATTCACCGGGATTCAGGGATTCACCAGGACTCACTGGGATTCTGGGATTCACCAGGATTCACCAGGATTCTGGGATTCACCAGGATTCTGGAATTCTGGGATTCACCAGGATTCACGGATTCAGCAGGATTCTGGGATTCAGCGGGATTCAGGGATTCAGCGGGATTCAGGCACGGGCAGGGATCCCAGCATTGGGAATGCGTTGGGAAGAGCTCAAAGCTCATCCCATTCCACAGCGGGGACGTTCCCGCTGCTCCAGCCTGGCCCGGGGCGCTCCCAGGGCTGGGGAAATCCATGGATTCCCTGGATAACCCATTCCAGAGCCTCTTCCCGGCCGCATTCCCGGGAAAATCCGGGATAACTCACCATGACCATCTTCCTCTGCTCGCAGAGCTTCTGGAGCTGGTAGGATTTCTCCTCGGCTTTGATGTAGCCTTTCTTGACGTCATCAACGGCCTGGGAACAGGGAAAAAATGGGAAAAATCCAGGAAAAATCCAGGAAAAAATCCGGGAAAAAAATCCAGGAAAAAAACGGGGAAAATCCGGGAAAAATCCAGGAAGAATCTGGGAAAAATCCAGGAAAAAAATGGGAAAAATCCGGGAAAAATCCAGGAGGAATCCGGGAAAAATCCAGGAAAAAATCCGGGAAATAAACAGGAAAAAAATGGGAAAAATCCAGGAAGAATCTGGGAAAAATTCAGGAAGAATCCAGGAAAAATCCGGGAAAAAATGGGAATTCCTCAGCTGGTGGAGCCCTTCTGGTGAGCTTGAGCTCAATCCCATAAAACCAGTTGGAATTCCTGAATTTGGGATCAACCCTTGACCCAACCGCCCTTCCAGGACTTTTCCTGACCCAAACAGGTATTCCAGAGGAATTCCACGTGGGAATTCCAAGCTTGGAGTGCCTCAATCCCATAAAACCAGTTGGAATTCCCAAATTTGGGATCAACCCTTGGACCCAACCAGTTTCCAAGGACTTTTCCTGACCCAAACAGGGATTCCAGAGGAATTCCAGGTGGGAATTCCAAGCTTGGAGTGCCTCAATCCCACCAAACCAGGTGGAATTCCCGAATTTGGGATCAACCCTTGATCCAAATGCCCTTCCAGGACTTTTCCTGACCCAAACAGGGATTCCAGAGGAATTCCAGGTGGGAATTCCAAGCTTGGAGTGCCTCAATCCCACCAAACCAGGTGGAATTCCCAACGTTGGGATCAACCGCTGCACTCCACCACCTCTCCCATCGGAAAGGAGCATTCCAGGAGAATTCCAGCTGGGAATTCCGGGCGGGAATACCTGGTGGAAGAAGTAGGCGACGGCCAGGTCGTTGTCGTTGAGCAGCGCCTCCTCCTCGGTGGTGAAGAGCCACTTGCGCAGCGTCAGGCACGTCCCCGGCACCGCCGACGTGTAATTCTGCACGTACAGCTTGTGGGGAAACTCGTTGGGAGCCAGCTTCCGCACTGGGAAACACCGGGAAAACCATGGGAAAATCATGGGGAATCACGGGGAAATCATGGGGAAATCATGGGAAAAATCATGGGGAAATCACGGGGAAATCATGGGAAAATCATGGGAAAATCATGGGAAAAATCATGGGGAATCATGGGGAAATAACGGGGAAATCATGGGAAAATCATGGGGAATCACGGGGAAATCACGGGGAAATCACGGGGAAATCATGGGGAATCACGGGGAAATCACGGGGAAATCCATGGGGAAATCATGGAAAAATCACGGGGAAATCATGGGAAAATCCCGGGAAAATCATGGGGAAATCACGGGGAAATCACGGGGAAATCATGGGGAAATCATGGGGAAATCATGGGGAAATCATGGGAAAATCATCATGGGAAAATCACAGGAAAATCACGGGGAAATCATGGGGAATCATGGGGAATCACGGGGAAATCATGGGAATCACAGGGAAATCATGGGGAAATCACGGGGAAATCATGGGGAAATCATGGGAAAAATCATGGGGAATCATGGGGAAATCACGGGGAAATCATGGGAAAATCATGGGAGAATCATCATGGGAAAATCACAGGAAAATCATGGGAAAATCATGGGAGAATCACGTGAGAATCCCAGGAAAATCATGGGAAAATCATGGGAGAATCACGTGAGAATCATGGGAAATCATGGGAAAATCATGGGAAAATCATGGGGAAATCACGGGAAAATCACGGGGAAATCATGGGAAAAATCATGGGAATATCATGGGGAAATCATGGGAAAATCATGGGAAAATCATGGGGAATCACGGGGAAATCATGGGAAAATCATGGGAAAATCATGGGAAATCATGGGAAAAATCATGGGAATATCATGGGAATATCATAGGAAAAATCATGGGAAAAATCATGGGAAAATCACGTGAGAATCATGGGAAAATCCCGGGAAAATCCCGGGGAAATCACGGGGAAATCACGGGAAAATCATGGGAGAATCATGGGAAAATCATGGGAATATCATGGGAAAATCATGGGAAAAATCATGGGAGAATCACGTGAGAATCATGGGAAAATCCCAGGAAAATCATGGGAAAATCCCAGAAAAATCACGGGAAAATCATGGGAGAATCATGGGAAAAATCACGGGAAAATCACGGGGAAATCATGGGAGAATCATGGGAGAATCATGGGAGAATCATGGGAGAATCATGGGAGAATCATGGGAGAATCATGGGAGAATCATGGGGAATCATGGGAGAATCATGGGAAAATCACGGGAAAATCACGGGAGAATCACGGGAGAATCCCAGGGAAATCCCGGGGAAATCGGGGGATGGAGGGGTGGGGAAGGGGGAAGGAGAGGGATGGTGGGAAATGCAAAAAATCGGTGTTAAAATGGGATTTTATCCCTGGGAACCTTCAGAAATTGCCCCAGATCCTTCCAAAATTATCCCAAGTCCCTCCAGAATGATCCCAAAGTCTCCAGAATGATCCCAAATCCTCAAGAATGATCCCAAATCCTTCCAAATTTATCCCTAAATCCTCCAGAATGATCCCAAATGCTTCCAGAATGATCCCAAATACATCCAATATTATCCCAAATCCTTCCAGAATGATCCTGAATCCTCCAGAATTATCCCAAAATCCTCCAGAATGATCCCAAATCCTTCCAAAATTATCCCTGAATCCTTTCAGAATGATCCAAACATCTCCAGAATGATCCCAAATCCTTCCAAAATTATCCCCAAATCCTCCAGAATGATCCCAAATCCTTCCAGAATGATCCCAAATGCTTCCAGAATGATCCCAAATACATCC